TTTTTCTGTGAGTAGGTGTGCGGAAAAGTAATAACGAATATAGAGAATCAAAACGTATCGGAAATCGAATATCACGAATCAGATCATCACTTTGCGTAATTTATACACACAAAAAACAAATTCTCTGTTGCTTACACAGCGAATTGACACCGTCACGAAATACAAAACAAACAAACAAAACAAACAGAGCACAATTGTACAGCTGGTAATAAAAGAGACTTTAAGCAGAAAAAATCTTAAAAGTGTCTCCTAATTTGTATAGGATTTACATAATATGGAGACGGTTTAAAAAACTTAAGGTCACTTTTATTCTCAGCCGATCAATTGAACCTGTGTGGCCATAAATAAAATGCATGCATAATAAAAATCATCACATTGTCAATTCCAAGCGAGTCGATTCGATGTGTGTTTTTTTCGTTCGCTTTTTTTTTTGCTCAGGCATCCTTCTGAGTGAATCTTACCATTGTAAAAATGAAAAAGTATTTTATTTTTCATATTAATGTTTTTAAATGATGCTTTATTTTTGCTTTAAGTATATTTGAAATTTGTCTAAAGTGTATGTCCATAATCGAATTATATTTTAGATTATTATCGTTAATCATAATTAATATCCATAGAGAAAGATATTTTTTGTTGTTTTGATTTGCTAGCACTATTATTATTAGTTTTATTCGAAAACTGAATCCAGATTTACAGAGTAAGAGAATACAATAAAATATTATTATATTATAACTTCTATTGTGGATTCGATTCTCTTATACTCTACATATTTAAAGACAAATTTTATAATCTTTCACAAGATTTTCAAGTATTCATTTCATGTATCCATTGTTAAGCATTTAAATTTACACCAATAAATTTGCCTACCAAAAGAAAATTCTTTTATATATTGTGTATTGAATTATATTTTGGACTTGAAAGTTATTTACACGATTTCAGAAAGAAAAAACAATGCAGTAATAATTACATGTAAAGAAAAGCTTATTCGACAAGGATAAGGTGTCATTTAACGATGTATAGCGTTTATTTTTCGAATGCGAAAAATACATCGTTTTAACATTATTTTGGTAGTACGCACTACCGGTGTGATACCTTATTTATATCAAATATTACGTATTGATCGTTTAAGTCAAATTCAAATGAATAATGTGATGTGCATTCTCATGCTTCATAAATGGTGGCAATTGTATGGCGTTCGACAACTAGACAACAGACTCTTTTGATTTTCATTAAACATCCATGCGCACCACATACTTCAATTGAATTTGCGACAGCATGTGAGACTCCTTACATTTACACCTTATAACTTAACAGAATTGTTTTGTATTTTAACATGAAATCACTAACAATGTAAACATAAAAAAGACACAATAACAGCTGAAACTAGCTTTAATTAAAAAATTCCAAATGATTTTCTATAAAATTTCGAGAATACCATATTACATTTCATACGATTTTTTTTTGTTTTCTCCATAAACCATATTATCAAATATACACAAAGTTACGTATATCATAAGAGTTGATATAAATTGTTGTATTAAGTAGTGATTACATTTAATTATTAACTTATTATGCTGATAAAAGCCAAGAAATGAAGCTAAATTTAATGATAATCTATTTATAGCGCGACACAAAGTGAATTGCGTCGATCGTAAGTTTAGAAGGTAAACTTGTTTTTTTTTTATTTTTTTTTTTTGAAATCTGTACTGGGAATTTTTTCGTCATGAAACCGACAAAAAAACCAGCAAATGTATGTAAATTTTCGGCAATTATTATTAAGACTTTCAACGACTAAACAATCCCATTCGTATCGGACAAAGATTTTTAGTTAAAATATTCAATTTATGTACAAGTTCCATTTGCTAGCAACTAAAATTATGTGAGCATTATATTTGAAAATGTCTGCCATTTGATGACAACTCAGCGAGAAATTGACACTCGATTTTTTTTTGAATGTAAATAAACCTTCGCATCCATCCAAGCCACTATTTTATTCGTCAATTTTTTTAAAATTGATTCATTCGAAAGTTCATTTCTAACTAACTTAATTGATAATATTCCGGAGCAAAGTCGTTGGCAATGTTGCTCAAGAAATTAAAATCAGATGAACTGTTTGAATTGTCCATGGGCGATGCAGAAATATGTTGGTTACCATTGATGTGTTGTGACACATGATAATGTGGACCGGCACCGACATGATTATAATGTTGATTTTGATGTGGTGGGCCCTGTGCAATGTGATTATGTTGTTGGGCTTGAGCTGATTGCATCGAAACATTTGCATCGTGATGATTTCCATCAAAGTATTGCGGATACAAAAAGCCATCGCAATGTTCATTCGGCAATTGTCCGTTAGATGGCGTTCCATATGCAGCAGTAGTATTATTATGAAATTCTCCGGCGCTATTGCCGCTCGTTGTATTGTACATGTTTTCATAGTAGCTTTGTTGAGCCGATGCCGCTTTTTGTTCATAATATGCAGCCGGTCCATCTAATTCGTTTGCACCTCCATATTCATTCGGAAAGTATTGATTTGCATTGTATTGCACTGGTATCTGATGTGCTCCATCAACATTTGCACCACCGTGCGGTCCATGGTGATTGTACAAGTTTTGATGATTCAAATGGAAGTTTGGTGCTTTTCCGTGATGGAATTCAATATTTTTGTGATGCTGTTGTTGCCCAAATTCGGGTTTAATGCCATGATGAATTTCACCTTTAATATGATGAAAATCGACTGGTGGCTTTGTATCGCCGAAATCTGCCTTTGATTGTTGATTAAACGCTGGTATTTGATTAGGCAACACACCTTTTTGTTGATGAGCCGCAAATTCAACCTCATATTTACCATAGTAATCAATTGATGGATTTGATTGTTTTCCAAAATAACCACTGCCATAGTAGGTTTCCGTTGCCGCATTTGCGTTGGCGAATCGATTTTTTGGATTGTTTTGATTTTGCTTCATTAACAATTGAGCTGGACCATAATTGCTGTTATGAATGGCACTATTGTTCGGCACCGGCGGCGATGGAGTCGCTTGCACATTTGCTAAATTTGATGGCATTGAAAATTGCTCGGACGATAAATCACGACGTTGTTGTTGCTGCATCTCGAAATTATTGTAGAATGGATTTTTCGCATTTCCCATCGATATTTCCTTCTTCAGCGGCTGGAATGTTAAAATTAAGACATTTTCGTTTAGAATCGAATACACTTTTTTAAAATTGATTTTTAAAATAAACGAGTGAATTTTATCGATATTTTTTTCACTTTTGTTTTTCTTTTGTCGATCTTATTGAAAATTGGGAATTTATCTCATTTTCCTAAGGTTTTGAACAAATTTATTTTCAAAAATAAATATCACTTACATGGTGTTCATCCTTTTTCTTAACTTTAGTTGGACTTTCGTCGTCCTCGTCAAGGCTAATGCTTGATGCAACGCTTGAATCAGCACTTATAATGGTGCTGCCCTTAATATGATTGCTTCCACTGTTGTTATTGCTCGAAATCGGCGTGTCCAACGAGGAGTTGGGTGTAACTAATGAATAATGACGTTTAATTAAATTATGTCATCCGTTTTGTTTCAAACATTTCGAGGCGTTCTTACCGTTACCGAGGCTTTTATTATTATTGGTGGCACTTGGTGTGTTATTGTTGTGACCACGTGAATTCGATGTCGAATCGGGAATATCGTGTGATGGTAGTTCGCATCCTTGGCATGATTTTTTCGAGCTTGAATCTGGAGTTAGAGCATCTTCTAAATAATTTACATCGATTTAAGTAAAAATAAATTTAGAAAATTCATATTTTGAGTCAAAATGTTTCCTTTTTTTCAGTCGATTTGAGATAGCAAAAAGTGTTACTTACTGCATGGTTGACTATCATCGTCACCTTTCAGACTATCTTTGTTATCTTCTTCGTCGGTTTTGGACAATGTTTGTCGTTTATGCTTCATGCGCCGGTTTTGAAACCATACTTTCACCTGAAATTGGTTTTATATTTGTGAGTCATTAAAATGAAAAACAGTTTCACAATTCGGTCCAACCCCCCACAAAAAACTCGAGCTAAAATTGAAGACATTGTTCAATTCATAGTCGGTTTATGGTGGCCGTGGTAAATGTAAATTGAAATGTCAATTGCGGTGTGTACCTGTCGTTCGGTAAGCTCTAAGCTTGCTGCAATTTCAATTCTTCGCGGTCGACATAAATATTTATTATAATGAAATTCCTTTTCCAATTCCAGTAATTGAACGTTTGTATATGCGGTACGTAACCGACGTGGCAATCCATTCTCAGCGACGAATTCAGCTGCAAAGATAAAAACAGTCAATTGAAAAATTAATTCAGTTTGAATGCAGACTGAAAAAAAAAGAGTAAATCGAGTGAAGAAAATTGAAGGGCGCTTCCATGGGTTTTACTTTATTTTTTCCAACGACTTGAGAATGTGAAGCATTTTGAAGTCTGAAATTGACAAATAATTTATCGTTTCGATTAAAAACGACGTTGCACACGATAGTCATTGCAAGATTCTTTCGATACTGAAAACAAATAGAGACAATCGATATTCAAAAAGAAAAACACTCAAAAAGAAAGAATCAATTTGCTTATTATCATAAAAATGTGCACCGTTCGACGTTGATATCGCAGTTACAAGTTTTGTGCTCGCACAATAGCGCGGCCAGGTTTTAAGACAATTTTTATAAATTCAAATCGATAGAAAATTCTACGAGTGAAAGAAAATTCTTCCGTCGTTCACTCTTCACTTCACGCCGCGCTGCCTGTATGTCATTGTAAATTTGATTCGCCTGACTGTAGCGTGCGCCTTAAAAATGATTGATTTGTTTTTTTTTTGTTGCCTCTTGGCATTTTTTGTCGGCGTCGGTGCGCACCATATTTATATATCTATTCAAGTTATTCGAGTGAAGTATTTTTGCGATGACAATATTTTCTATGGCATGTAAACATCGTTCAGCTAAATAATATCCGTTCCGTTTGACATTTCACATGACTTTCAGTTACACCGATTCGATTCTATTCGGTATAGTCCACTGATTTTCTATATTTTGATGTGTATATTTTGACGGGTGACGAAAGAAATCGCTTTCATACATTGTATTTTACATATCGAACATAAGATGGAATTATCGAGTAATTTCCGCTTCGAAACTGAGTTTCTAATTTTAATACATTGTTCTTGAGCGGAGTTTTTCTCTCGCATAAAAGAGAGGAAAAAGATTGTGCATTTAAAAAAAATACCAACCGAAAATTGGTTTGCTCGCTGGGATTTTGTGATATGCTAGATTGCAATTTAAAAAAGCAATCCATATGAAAGTTACTGTCGGAACTGGTTGATACTAATCTGCTCGACACGACAGATTTTGGAGAGAGAGAAAAAGTGAACACAGATCTTTGCAGATGGATGATTTTCTGGTTGGTTATAATTTTGTTTATACTCGAAACAGCTAGCGTACACAGACGGAAAGGAACACTCAAAACAAAACATACGGATAAATCTGCAAACAAAATATGCAAATTGCGACGTAATCAAAATCGCATTTAAACTTACTTTAAAGCTTTACGCAAAATTCACCGTACAGGCTTTCGAATACAATCTTTCTTTCTCTCTCTCTCTCTCTCTCTCTCTCTCCCACTCTCTCATGCAAAGTGTTTTAGAGAGAGACTACCACACACGTACGCGGGAAAATTGCTTCTTCATTGTCTGTGCATGATTGGAAATTGTTCGTCACTCATACTCCCATGCATATACACACTCACAAAATGCACCATCGGAATTAAATTCGACGAAAAACTGAATTTTCAAAGTTGTCGGCTCCAAATTTAATCAATATGCAAACGGTGCACTCTAATTGTATGCGTGATTCCAATGAATTTCAAAACTCAAATTGTGTATTAGTTTCGATTTGACGAACGACGAGATAATTAAATGCTCATTTTAAATGAATTGAATCAATATGCTGACGCTATTGTTCAGTTCTCTTTCTCTCGCTCTACCGCTCAACTAACAAAATTTGATTTTGAAAATGAAAATTTATAATGGCCAACTGACAACATCGCCACTGAGCTATTTATAACGAAAATATATTATGAATGAACTGTTTGTAACAATAGCCGATTTGACGTTTAGCTTTTCAATGTGAGATGAGCTTCTGGTTCAGTTAATACAATTAATAAATTCTCTTTCTCTGTCTCTTTCGTTTTGGGCTTTTGTTCCTAAAAAAAAGTCAGTAACATAATTAACGTTCGAGTCCATTGATGTTTCTTGTTTCTGGTGATATATTTATGAATCAAAGTCGCGTTCATAAGAGAAAAAAATGAAAGACTATTTCAAGTAGCACAATTATTTCACACATTTTCTTTACTTTCTCATCATAGAAAGTTATTTATGAACACACTATTTTTCCGTTTTCAATGCGGTTGCCGTCGCCATTGCATCTACTTTGTTATATGTCTATCAACAAGTGATTGAACGCTCTCGAATAATACCAATGATGAGTTATTTTGAGCGATAAGTGTTCGTTTGCTTGATAAATTGTACATGAACATTATTTTCATTGATAGAATCACTGCTGATGGCATTGTTAACAATCATTATTGCTGATCACAGAAGCACATAAACGGTAAATATTTATTGTTGATCTATTGTTGCCTTTCATTTGATGCATCATATTTGATATATGATTTTATCCGCATTCTTTTTCATCTAACTTTCATTACCAAATTCATTCAAATGCCTACAATTCTTCAATTTCGTTTATTTCGTTCCGAAGCAAGGATTTACAAAAGGAACAAAAAAATGCAGAGATAATTGATGAAAGTGTCTGGACCACTGAAACCGCAATGTGCAGCAGCAACAGCATCAGCCTTTCTCTTTTACGTCTTGGTTACTTAAAACCATCAATAAACATATTGCCTCGGAATGTTTGAAAAATGTCTTTATTCAAACCTCAATACAGGAAACGAGTTATTTTTTGTTTGGTTCGAAAAACTTATGTTTCATTCATGGTGCACATGTCAAATTCTGCGTTCGAATACCTTCAAGCAGACTTTTAATTGTAATTGTCGCCTTTTTATGATTTGTTGACAAAATTTTATTTGTTCAAAACATTTCGAAAAAAAGAAGATTTCCATAAGGAACAAAGAATGCAAAGATAGTTGATGAAATCTTTTGGATATTGAAAAAGCCGCAATATACACCAGAAGCAGTAGCAATATAGAAATGACACTATTCAAACCACAAAGACAGAGTCCCATTTCATGAACAGTGCGAAATAAACATATTCGATTTACTCGAGTATTTTTTTTTAAATCGCACTGTTCAGAGGCCAAGAAACGATTTAATTTTTTGTCCGAAAAAACTTATATTTTGTTCATTTATATTTGTCTTATTGATGCATATGTCAAATTTTCAAATCGTTCAAATGCCTTCAAGCAGGCTTTTAATTGTACACACCGTCCAAGAGCTCTTCCTTCTTTCGGTTTGTTGTCAAAATTTTCTTTGTTCAGACTGCTCGTTTTTCATCTCTCTTTTCAAATTCACTTTTGAGATGGCAGATTATGTGATAATTAATGATTTCATTTCAGACGAGCATTTCACCCGATCCAGACTTTTTTTTCTCTCGCATAGGCGGAATTCTAAGCATTCGTTCGACTTATCGATTCGTTACAGGTGCTTGCTTTCTCAGTCGCTCTTTCCGCTGTGGCCATGAATTTTTCCATTACATAATTTGTCCTAATTTTTTTTTCTACCTTGTTTTAGTTTTATTAAAAAAAACCTCTAACTCAGAGATAACCGAATTTGTTCAAACTGGTAATCGTTTTCGTTCGAACAAATGTGGGTTCGTGTATTGAAAAAATGATTTTTTTCATTAGATCAAAGGTGAAATTCAATCGATATTACGCTGGCGCAATGCATGCAGCAACTATGTCTTTATCAAAACATGCACGATTCTTTTAAAATTTTAAAAATTTAATGAAAATAATTGATTCGTTCCATTCAAATGAACTAACCAACAACAGGGCGTGCCTTTGTTTCGAATATTATGCTCGTTTAATGCTTTGTATACGTTATTTTCTTTCAAATAAACCCACACGTGAATGTTATTTCATATGATCATGTTTGTGTGTTTAGTTTTGGATGCCAAAAATCCCGAGCAATTTCCTTTGTTGCATAATAACTCATGATTTTGTTTTGCATAAATAAATCCGAATGAAATGTTCCACCCTGAAAATGGCAAAAATGCTTAAATGGCTTTTAAGTCGCCCGAAAAAAGTGGTGGAATGGAATTGAGCCAACGGAGGTCAAAGTTGGTGAAATAATGTAATAAAAATCAAGAATTTATGGAAAAACAGAGAATTCATCTCAATTCGAACTATTTTTTCGTCGAATCCTTGGCTTCAGCCAAATGCAATTTGAATGAGAGCGCACATTGTGGCAAACGCAAAAGAATAAATGATGAAAATATTTATACATTTATGCATGAATTGTGTATACATTTTTATGAATTTGAAGGAGACCTGTCGACGACACATTTTTACATTTGTCACGCGGCGAACAGAAAGGACGCGCTTCTGAATAGAGCAATCACAATGCATTCAAATGAGAAGAGAGAGAGCGAAATCACTGTGACATACGACAACAGAACATTTAAATTTAGACAAGACGAAGCACATGATTCGAATCGAAGAGAAAAGAAACGAAAAAAATTCTTGATTTAATACTTTTTTGAATGGTGAAATTGTACAACAAAATATCATTAATCATTCAAATGGAATACCAAAATCGTTTTCTATCTTTTTCTGCTTTCTTTTCGTCGGTTTGGTTCCGGTTGCTCAATGCAAACAACATCCATTTAGATTTGGATTTTTGCTGGTCGAACACATTAGTTTCTTCAAAACAGCATATGCCCTAAATACCAAGCGCTGAACAGCAAACCCATTTCGTGCATGGATTTTCGGATTCCAAAAACTATTCTCGGGGTTTCTTTTTTGCAACAAGATCATTTCAAAAAAATGAAAATGAAATACACACAAAACGACTGCGAACAATGAACAGAATGGACATTTTTTCCCTTCGATTATGAATGATAAAGAAAAACAACGAAAGAATAAAAGAAAAAAAGAGAAAATTATTATAAATTGTCTTTCATCAGATGTCATTCGTCGCATTTGAATGTTTTTATTATTTATGCATAACGGAGCTTCCATAAACTGTTTTCCGTTTTCATCATAATGTTTTCGGTGTTTTTCAACCCAAACCGAGATTTTCGTTACCGTCTCTCTTTTTTTCC